TTCCTCAACATGATAAAGAGTATCTACAAAAAAGGTATAACTATCATCATAATTAAGTAATAAATTAAAAACAGCATGTTTTCAATCCAAGATTAGAAACAAAGAAAGGATTTCTATTCTTACCACTTTTTTTTTTTCCCCCGAGACAGAGTTTCACTCTGCTGTCCGGGCTGGAGTGCCGTGGCTTCAGCCTAGCTTACAGCAACCTCAAACTCCTGGGCTCAAGCTATCCTACTGCCTCTGCCTCCCAAGTAGCTGGGACTACAGGCATGTGCCACCATGCCTGGCTAATTTTTTCAATATATATATTTTTAGTTGTCCAGATAATTTCTTTCTATTTTTAGTAGAGATGGGGGTCTTGCTCTTGCTCAGGCTGGTCTCAAACTCCTGACCTTGAGCGATCCTTCTGCCTCAGCCTCCCGAGTAGCTGGGACTACAGGCATGCGCCACCATGCCTGGCTAATTTTTTCAATATATATATTTTTAGTTGTCCAGATCATTTCTAATTTTTAGTAGAGACGGGGGTCTCGCTCTTGCTGAGGCTGGTCTCGAACTCCTGACCTTGAGCGATCCACCCGCCTCGGCCTCCCAGAGTGCTAGGATTACAGGCGTGAGCCACCCCGCCCGGCTAGTTTTTTAAAAAGTCCTATGTGGGGATTTGCATCCTTGCAACCATTTGAACTCATGATAAAAATATTTTAGATGACTTTAAGAACAGTGAGGTTTTCAAAAACTCTAGAGTGTACCCACGCAGGAGATAAACGGGGAGAGGTGACAGCCATTGTGGCCGAGGATGTTGGCGTGACGACCTGTCCTCCCCTAGCCCTGCCCGCCCCAGCCCGGGCAGGCGACCGGCTCCCTTTGGAGAGATAGCTAGGAAAAAAAAAATCTTTTATTGGATTTTATTCAATTCTTATTTCTTGCCGGAAACGATGACAAAACTCTCGATAATTATGATTCTCACAACGGCTCGAAAAAGTATTAGGAATCCTTTTTATAAATAAGCCAAGCCAAGAAAAAGGCAAGCCATGTCCTTTCCAGAGCGAAACTCTTTATGCCAAAGCGCTTTCCTGCGCCAAAATGTGCAGTCTCCAAATAAATGCCACGAATTTGGAGGAAAAAACGGGGAATTTTGTGTCGCTAAAGATTCACATAAAATAACGTGGCGGCCAACTATTAATACATTTGCTCAGGAAAAGCGCGTTCTTCTATTAACCCCTTCCCCGCCCTCCAGCAGCTGGGGTCGCGTATCATTATACATCCAGCTCCCGCGCACACAGCGCTACGACGTCGCCGCCTTTCGATTTCCCTTTCAATTTCAAACCTCCTGCCATTGTAGTATCCTGCCAGGCAAACGGTTTCTGGAAACGTTCAACGCCTCAGCATAAAGATGTCTGTCTGTCAGGTCCAGGCAGGGATAAAAAGGTCTTACGAAAACGCAGAGCCAGGCACGACCGCCAAGGTAGCGTGACAACACCCCGGGCCTCATGGAGCTCGAGATCTAGCGCCAACCTCAAGACTCACACACGAGGAGACGGGGGCGGGGAGGGATAGAGAAGGTTGTCACAGGGTCCTTCTTGGGGAGGCGACCCGCGCTCCTCACGTGCACGGTACACGCCAACCTGATGGACCTGGCCTTGGATGGGGTGCAAGCGCTCAAGTCATAAAAGCACCCTTTGCCATTAAAGGACATTTGAAACTAACAGCCATTTTTGCGCCATAGTACACGTTAATAGCTGAGAGGAATCCTTGATCGCCTTCCACCACCGTTACCCAGCTTTTTTGCTTGGTCACCGCTTCCATCACGAATGTCTGTAACTGGTACTTATTCTCACTTTCCGCTCACATATACACGCGCGCGCACGACACACACAGGCGTACACACGACTCAGACCCGGCCGCACCCTGTAGCCAGGGAACCGCCAGAGCGCACAGCACATACACGAATTTACGTAACAACCCTTCACCGTGTTCGACACCCTTTCTCGATTGTGTGGGTGGCTCTGAAAAGAGCCTTTGGGTTCTGGGCGCACGGCGGCGCACCTCACTTGGAGCTGGTGTACTTGGTGACGGCCTTGGTGCCCTCGGACACGGCGTGCTTGGCCAGCTCGCCGGGCAGCAGCAAGCGCACGGCCGTCTGCACCTCGCGGGACGTGATGGTCGAGCGCTTGTTGTAGTGCGCCAGGCGGGAGGCCTCGCTGGCGATGCGCTCGAAGATGTCGTTGACGAACGAGTTCATGATGCCCATAGCCTTGGACGAGATGCCGGTGTCGGGGTGCACCTGCTTCAGCACTTTGTACACGTAGATGGAATAGCTCTCCTTGCGGCTGCGCTTGCGCTTCTTGCCGTCTTTCTTCTGCGCCTTAGTGACGGCCTTCTTGGAGCCCTTCTTCGGCGCCGGAGCCGACTTGGACGGATCTGGCATGATGGCGTGTCTCTGTGAACAGAAACGAAAACTGCCGGGAGCAACTCTATTTGTAGGTCTTGTATTCAAATGAAGGATTGGAATCTTCTCACTTCTGATTGGATAAAATGTCGTTCTACGCCATCGCTGGGCAAGGTATACGCAAATAAGGAGAAGCCGGGCTCCTTTTCTGATTGGCTACCGTTGTTAACCAATAGAACGCCGCCGTCTAGCCGACCTCCAGACCATATATAAGGGCTCGCTGCACCCGGCTGCCTCGTTATTTTCGGTACTGTCTTTCGGTTTTTCTGGGCTTTTGCGTTCGCTTCGGAGATGTCCGGCCGCGGCAAACAGGGCGGCAAGGCCCGTGCTAAGGCTAAGTCGCGCTCGTCGCGGGCGGGGCTGCAGTTTCCTGTGGGTCGCGTGCACCGACTGCTCCGCAAAGGCAACTACTCCGAGCGCGTGGGTGCCGGCGCGCCGGTGTACCTGGCCGCGGTGCTCGAGTATCTGACGGCCGAGATCCTGGAGCTGGCGGGCAACGCGGCGCGAGACAACAAGAAGACGCGAATCATACCGCGCCACCTGCAGCTGGCCATCCGCAACGACGAGGAGCTCAACAAGCTGCTGGGCCGCGTGACCATCGCGCAGGGCGGCGTCCTGCCCAATATCCAGGCCGTGCTGCTGCCCAAGAAGACCGAGAGCCACCACAAGGCCAAGGGCAAGTGAGGCCGCCGCCCCCGGCGCCCTTTTACGGACACCAAAGGCTCTTTTCAGAGCCACCCATCTTCTCGAGAAAAGAGCCACACTCATCCCGCACCCCCTTCCCGGCCTGTGGCCTAGTCATCTTGGGCGCGTCAATGAGCGCTTCAGCGCTAGGCTGGGGCGCAATCAGGAGCTGGGACCCGGGGCTGGCTGGGCCACGCATCCTCGCCAGGTAGGCAACGTGTGCCTTTTGCCGCAGGGAACGCTTGCCCATTGCCCACAGGCGGCCAGCCTTGCTTTTGAATCTCACCCCAAAACCTCTCGTGGGATTTTAATCCCGCCCACCCTAAAGGTATCCGCATGATTGCTAGTGATGAACGTTATCTTTGACTCTGGAAAGATTCGCATTTGGAGAAGTCCAGGATGGGTTTTCTGATCCCAGAGACAATGGGGTTGATTCATCTGGTATTAAAAGTATTTGCAATCTTTTACGAATTTGCCATTTGCGATTGTAATGGGTAAATCTTGGGAATTCCATTGAAAACGTAAATTAAGATTGCCAAATTTTAACATCGTGAGGTCCGAGGAAGTTATGATTTGATTTGTTTGGTTGGAATTCTAAAGGTCGTGGAAAAGGTTCAGTATTTTAAAAAGAACCGAATTATTAGATCTTAAAAGGTGTAAACGTTTTAAGAATTAATTGTGAACAGCGTAATTATTTGAAGGAACTTAGTTTATTTTGGGGTTGGTCAAACATTAATCAAAGATCCCCTTAATGTGATTGTTGCAATTGGGAGAACTAAATAATTTGTACAGTGAATTTGATAAGGAAAGGAAAACTAGGTTTCTGAGTTTAGCAAATTTAAAATGAATACTGTTAGAACCAGATTAAGTAGTATTTGTGGATTTTTAGGCCGATGACCCTGTTGATGAACTCCACATTGCAAAAAAAGGAGGGTTGGAGAATTCCAGAGACCTCCAGGCAAAATCAACTGAGAAATGGCTGTGTTAATAGCACCTACCTCATAGGGGAGAAGGGATTAGTGGAGTTAATCCGTGATAATCCCTTGAAAATGCCCGGTCCAAAATCAGAGCTCAGAAAGTGTCAAGCTTTATTCCTGTTACGGTTATCTATAGTTTTCATTGTTTTTCAAAATATGGATGAGTCCTTTAATTTTTTAATGGACGCAATTTTGCACGCAGTTATGGACTGTGTAGTGATGTTGCAATACATGGAATGTATAGTGATCAGACTAGGGTAATTAGCAGTTTTTATTATAATTATAAATACAGGCCAGTAAGATAATTCAGGAATATTATATGTATGTATCCTACTAAAATTGGGTCTACCCAAACCAGGGCTCCCTGGACACTATCTGGAGCTAACCACAAATCTGCTTGTCTTTAGAAAATATCACAGTGCTATGTAACTATTCACCCCAAAAATTGATAAGCAACTGCCCCGACAGTGTTGATCTAAACAACACAACATTCACAAAAATGTAGATAGTTGGTGCAACACCCAAGTGGGCACCATTTCAGTAAAACAAAGCTGCTAGGATTGGCCAGGGGAGTGCATAGCCTTCCACAGATCTCCCCGTTATTTTTCTAGAGACAGACTTCAAATCTAGCTTAAATTTGTCTTTATGTATTTATAGCCATGTAGGTCACTGTATCTTTTCGAACCCTTCGGTAGTATTTCAGAAGGTTTTTTCAGGGGCTGGGGACTTAGCTGTTTCAAGTATCACTATGGATTTCCAGATTTTTTTAAAAAAAATAAATGGAGTGTTAAGAGGGAAGGCAGTAGCATTTCATTCGTCACCTCTAAGGCTGAGCTGTCCCATACACAGTAACAAGCCACAGGGTTTATTTAATTTCCAGATAATTAGCAAGGCGTGGTGGCTCACACCCGTAATCCCAGCACTTTGAGAGGCTAAGGTGGAAGGATCACTTGAGGCCAGGAGTTTGAGACCAGCCTGGGCAACATGGTAAGAACCTGCCTCTAAAAAAAAAAAAAATGTGTAATTAATTTTCAGTTAATTAAAATTTAATGCAAAGATGTAGTTTCTCAGTTGCCCTAACAGCATGTAGCCAATGGATACCATATTAGCACAGACCAAATGTTTCTGTCATCACAGAAAGCTGACTTGGACAGCGCTGGTCTGGAGCCTGAGCATCTATCAGGTTACCAGGCTCAGAAAGGTAGTAAAATAGCAAGAGCTGCCTGCTTCTGTAAGAGAAAGCTCGTCACACTCTAGCAAAAGCAAGAAAAGTACCGTATGGCCCAGCAATTCCACTCCTAGGTATATGCCTAAGAGAAATGAAAAACACATACACACGAAAACTTGTACACAAATGTTCGTGGCAGCATTATTCATAATATCCACAGGGTGGAAACACCCCGATGTCCGTCAGCTGAGGAATGGAGAAGCAAACTGTGGCCTCTCCATACGATGGATATGAGTCATTGCAAAGGACTGAAGCGCTGACTCAGGCCACAAGGGATGAACCTTGAGCACGTTACACCCAGTGAAAGGAGCCGGACACAGAAGGCCCCATGGCGTACGATTCCATTTCTGTGAAACATGCAGAACAGGCGAATCCACAGGGGAAAAAGCAGAGGCGTTGCTGCCGGGGGCTGAAGGAACGCAGAGCGGTGGGGCGACCGCTTAAGGGGCGCAGGGTTTCCTGCGGGGATGAGAATGTTTTGGACGTAGACAGTCGCACAACGTTGTGGATGTCCTAAGTGCCCCTGAATTGTTCAGTCTAAAGTGGTTCGTTGTATGTCATGAATGTCACCTCATCTTTTAAAAAAATCTGAATCTAATAAATGAACGTGTACCAAATAGTAAGAAGCAGAGGGAGAAGAAGGGAAATCAAAGGAAGGCTGGTGTCGCAGGAGGGCCATGGAGAAGGTGGACCAGACACCGGGAGGACCGAGGTCCACTCCAGTGCCTCCGGGCAGGACAGTGGGGTGAGGTGAAGCCCTTGGTACGGCAGCGGCGGCACTCAGCGGCCCGTCGGGTCACTCCGGGTGGCCGTGGCAGCTCACCTCTGCTGGCTCTGCCTACAGTCTGTATTCTTTGGGGGCAGCGTGGCCTTCCCTGGCCCGAGGTGTCACCAACGCACACTCACCTTCACTGGGAGTGTCTCAGTCACTCTGCACACGTTGGCTGGCATTTTATCGAGAAAGATGAGAAAAAGAGATCCTAGGTCCCAGAGGAAGAATGCAGCTTGAGCCAGCCTCCGACACAATCACTGCGCAGGTAGGTGTTTGCAGTTTTGCAGAGTTCTCGGCCTGCCCTTCCCCTCTCCTGGGCGTGAGTCTGTGCCCCAGCCCCTGCCTGGTCATCTCCCGCACGCTCACCAACACGCTCAAGAATCTCCTGATTTTTAAAAAAATTGACCATGCTCCTCCCGGCAATGTCCGAATCCCGAGACGCTGAGTTAAAGTGTTCCGTTAGCGGAGGAGTGATGCTGATCCTACAGGGAAGCATGTTTGGATAGTTTCTCTGACTCCTGTCCAATGTGGGTTGTGCTGAACTTGTCATTGTCCTTGACTGTGTGTGGTCCTGTCCCAAAGTGGCCCTAGCTCTGGCCGCCAGAGTCGGCCTCCTGCCTGCCTGGAAGAGTCTGTTGTGCGTGTCACTCACCATGCCTCAGCCTCGGTGGAACACAGGCTGGCCCAGAAAATGCTCCAAAGCCATGTTCGTCCCAGCCTCCGCGTGTGCCCCCTGCCTCCTGGTTGCAGCTGCTTCTGCACAGGCGGCTGCGGACACCAGGTCCACGGCCCCGGATGTTGGAGGTGGCAGTGCCCCTTGTGGACCGTCACCCTTGGGCACCCAGGTGAGCTCCGTGGGCTCTGGCCTCAGCTTATCCTTGTCACTTGCTGGCCAGGCCCTCCCAGGTCTCTCCTACTGAATAACCAACCAGCCCAAGACGTCCCAGCTGGAGGGCCTGCCGGGTGAGGGCGGAGCCGGGCTTCCCGGATGGCAGGTGGCTGGCGGACAGGCTAAAACTGGCTTGTGGGCCGTCGCCACCCACTCGGGGCCAGCTGGGGGAGTCGGCTGGAGGGTCAGCCCAGGGTTGGGTGAGTCAGTGGTGGGTTAGTGCTGGAGCCAAGGAACCCTGAGGCCCTGCCTGGAAGTTGCACACTGTCCCTGATATGCCTTATGCTGGGGTCACAACACGTGACAAGGCCAGCTTGACTGGGGATGCCGAGAGAGCCTCCTCTTCCCGATGTCAGGAGCCACAAGGCGCTGGGAGCCTGCGTGGGCCGGGGGAGGAGGAAGGTTCTGGTGGCTCCACCCTGCGACTTCCTGTCTTCTCGTGATCTCATCCAAACCACAACTTCAGTGCGGCCCGAACCATCAGCGGGCATCTTCCCAGAGCTCCGCGCTCACGCACACCTGCTTGGCGTTCCCGCTGGCCAGCGGTGGCCTGACAGCACCCGTACAGGAGCCCCACGGAAGGTTTTCCATGCCCCACCCCCACCCCGGTACCTCTCCCAGTCTCCCCCAGCCCGGGAATCGCTTCTGCCATCCTCTGGTTACTCAGGTAAGTAAAACAGACAAATACAAGCAGACTGTGCAGGCTGCACAGTAGACGGGGCAATTTATAGACAACAGAGCTTGTTGCTCACGGTTCTGGAGGCTGGAAGTGCAAGATCAAGGTGCCAGCAGATTTGGTGTCTGGTGACATGGCGCCTTCTTGCTGTGTCCTCACGTGGTGGAAGAGGCCAAAGGCTCCCTGGAGCCTCTCTTACAAGGCGGCGCGCCTTCTCTTCTACAAGGGAACTAATTCCATCACGAGGGCGCAACCCTCACGACCTCATCGCCTCCCAAAAGCCCCAAGTCTTAATACCGTCACCTTGGGCATTGGGATTTTAACATACAAATTTTGGGGGGACACAGACATTCTTCATTCTTTGCCTTCCTTGCCCACAGACAGACCATCCGCAAGTCTTGTGAGTGTTAGCTTTGACCCGTCCGGATGCAGGTGTGTCTCTCCGTTTCAGCTCCTGCTGCGCTCGCCTTGAGCACCACCGGCGGTGAGCTGAAGGGTGGCCCGTCTGAAAGATGAGTCCACATCCTAATCCCTGGGACCTATTTCTATTACTAGGACCTTATTCGGATAAAGGGTCTCTGCAAGTGTAATTGAGTTGAAGC